CACACACACACACACACACACACACACACACACACACACACACACACACACACACACACACACGCGCGCGCGCGCGCATGCAACCCCTCCCGCAGGTCCTGGTCGATAACGCAACAGACCCCCTCAGCCCCGGCGCAGACTGCACGTCCCCCGCCGCCGCCCCCGGCCCCGGCGCCAGCTGCTGCTGCTGCTCGTACACAAACGAGGCGTCCCGCCGCGTCGCCGACGTGCGCGCCGGCGCGGCGGCCCGTATCGACTGGGCCTCCACCTGCCTGGCAGGCCACGGGCTGTGTCTGTTGCTGGAGGTCGAATTTGACCCCATTGAAGGACACGGCACCAACAAGGCTGCCGGGAGCGGCGGCGGTGGCGCCAAGGATCGTGGCGGCGGGCAGGGGCCTGGGCTGGAGCGCCGCTCGCTGCTCTTTGACGCGGGGCCGAGCGGGGAGCTGCTGCGCTGCAACGCGCGCCGCTGGGGCCGCGGGCTGGACCTGGGGGCAGTGGGGGCGGTGGTGCTGTCGCACTGGTGCGCACCCGGCTGGATTGGAAGCCTTGGGGTGCAGCACAGGCCGCGGGAAAGGGGGCCGGGATCGGGGTGCGAGTGGTCGTGGTGTGGGTTTTGTCGCAGCGCTCGGCTGCGCACGCGTGACGAAACAAAAGCGAAGGAAGACACCCGCCTCTGGAGGTTGCAAGGTCATCACCTAAAAACGCCCCAGGCCATCATGACGGCCCACGGGCCCGCGTCCCTCCCACCCCTCCACCCCCAAGGCATGTGGACCACTCCGGCGGCCTGCCTGCCGCCCTGGATCTCATCGGAGCGGCGCGCGGCGCACGGGCGGCGGGCGGCGCTGGGGCGGGCGGCGTCCACGGCGGCGGCGGCGAGGCGCCGGCGCCGCAGCCGCGGGCCCCCGTGCGGGTGGTGCTGGATGTGCACCCGCGGCGCCCCTGGTGCCGCGGGCTGAAGCTGCAGCCGGGCGATGAGATCATCCCCTTCAATCAGGTGGGCGCCATGCGGCTTCATAGGTGTGCACGTGCGCGCAGTGGTGGATGGGTGCGCATGACATCTCAAGCGCGTTCCGTGAGTTGGTTTATCCCCGTTTTGGGTCGCAGGGTGATTTGCACCCCTCTGGGTTCATCGGCTGCCCCCAATGGGCCCTGAACGCTGGTCTGCCGCTCATTCACTCCCCCCTCCCGATCTGGGTCCCCCCGGCAGGACCCAGACCCGGCCCAGCTCGCGGTCGACCACGCGTGGCTGGACGTGGCGCCCGCGGCCGCGCCGCACACCCTGCTGGACGGCTGCTTCGGGGTGTCTGGCTTCATCCCCCGCGTGACGCCCTACGAGGAGGGCAACCCGGCGCACGCATCTCAGTGGTGCGCGGCCGCCACCTCCGCCCCGCGTCCGGCCTGCATCCTGTATCGTCCGCAGCTGCCGCCGGCCCGCACGTCCCGGCCGAGAGGAGCAGGTGTTTGCGCCCCATGCATGCGCTGCCACGTGATTGACAAGACGGCCCCTGGCTGCGTGCAAGCTGCACATCTGCATCTGTGCACCTGCAACACCACCTGGCGCCAGGGAGGAAGGTGGGCCCTGGGAGGACGACCCCCTTATTGAAGACGAGCGGGCGCTCGTCGTCGACCTAGCAGGTACGTTCAAACTGGTTGTTTGTCTACGGACTGTTCTAGTTGGTCTCTTTCTCCGCAGCAACCGTTTCCCTGCACGCCGCGTCTGCAAGCGGCGGGGCCTCCCGCCAGGCGGAGGCGCGGGGACCAGGTGTTGCGTGGCCACGACTGCACCAAAGTCGCTCGCCTTCTGCAACCTTCTGAAAATGAGGACCGTTACAGCGCGTCGCAGCAGTCGCCCGCTCCGAGCTGTCAGGATGCGCCTGCGCCGCCGCGCCCTCATCCGCTGTGTGCGCTGCACGCGCTGTGCATGCTGTGTGCGCGCAGGCAAGGGTCCCGTCGTGTTCAGCGCCTGCTCCCACGCCGGCATCGTCAACGTGGCGCGCTGGGCGGAGGCGGCGCTTGGGCGGCCGCCCTACGCCAGCTTTGGCGGTGCGGGCTGCAGGGCGGGGCCAGGGCCGACGCCTTGCTGCCTTCCGCTGCGGCACGCGGTTGGTCCGCCTCTCTGCCGCGTGCCGCGCGAGTCCTAGCCTGAGGGAGTGTCGCTGTCATGCGCCTAGCTTGGGTCCATGGAGGTTGGACGCCGCCCCCTTGGTCTGCAAAGGGAGCAGCCTGGGTTGCGTCTTCTCGACGTGAGCCGGCCTGCCGCCCCCCCCCCCCTCACTGCCAACGCAGGCCTGCACCTGGCTCCCCGCGACTGCCTCGCGCGCGTCGCCCCGACCGCGCGCCACCTGGCGGCCCAGCGCCCCCCGCTGTCGCTGCTCGCCGCGGGCCACTGCACCGGGTGGCGGGCGCAGGCGGCGCTGCAGGCGGCGCTGCCGGGGCGCTGCATGCCGCTGAGCGTGGGGGCGACGTTCGAGCTGAGCTCAGAGTAATCTGCAGCCAGAATTCCTCATGACGACAAGCGATACTGGCCTGCCTCGCCCAGTGTTACTTGTCTCAGCTGCAGCCCTAGGCGGCCCCTGTTGAATTCAAATTTGTAGACAAGGAGCAGCCCCTGACTCGTCCTCAGCAAGCTTGTGCGGTAGGCGCGCGCCCGCAGCACTCTTTCAGCGCGCAGGCATGGCAGCGAGGCAGCCGGACGGGCGCGCCGCTGCGGGTTACACGCCCAAAGCCGCCGCAGCTGCAGGCCCAGGGCGCCGCGTCACGTGGACACGTTCAGCAGGCTGCGGTCCTCCACCCCTGCATCCCCGAGCGCCGCGGCCCCGTCCTCCAGCGTCCTCCGCGGGAACTGCGTCGACAGCGCCACCTGGCTGCCGCCGCCGCCTGCCAAGCCGCCGCGGGGGGCCGTCGCGCCCAGCTGCAGCGCCGCAAACGCGCGCAGCTGGTCGACCGTGTCCGTGGCGCGCCAGCGGCGGGTGACCACGCGGTCGTGGAGGCGCAGCGCGATCGTCAGCACGCCGACGGCGCCCTCCTCGGGCTCGTCTGGAACCGCCACCACAGGCTCCGCCGCGCCCGCGGCGCTCTGGGAAGGCGCCCCCTCGACGGCCGCCGCAGCCGCCGCCGTGCCGGCGCCATCAGTGCCATCGCCGCCGCCGCCTCCATGTGCCTGTTGGTCTTCCATGCTAGCCGCCAGCGCGGCCGCCAGATCGTAATCCTCGTCATCCTCGACACCGCCACTGCCTCCACGACCCAACGACCCCGCCCCCGCACCGCCGCCGACGCCGACGCCGACTGCCAAGCCGCCGTCGCCATTAAACCCCTGGCTGCCGCTGCCGCGCCGCCCAGTGCCGCCGCTGCCGCTTGCGCCGCCCTGTGACGCGGCCATGTGGTCTGCCAGGCTGGCCGCCAGCGCCGCCGCAAGCTCCGGGTCCTCGTCAGCGCCGCCGCTGCCGCCCTCGCCGCCGGCGCCGCCGAGCATCGCGTCCGCGGCGCGTTTCCGGGGCTGCAGCGTGAGCGTCCCGCCCTGCTGCGCGGCGCGGCTGAGCGCCGTCTCTATCGCGTTGTGCGCCTTTCCGCGCTGTGGGGACATGCGAGGCGGAGGCGCGGTTTGTGCAATGTCAATGCTTCCAGTGTACGTATCATAAGATCCAACTCTAGTGTCTGGTTGTCACGTGGATTTTTCTCGCAAGTGCACCACCAATTCACGTTTCACGCCAATGATGGAATTGGAAGAAGTTGAGCAGGCAGTCTTGACGAGTGTGGGGCGTTGATGCCCTGCCAGCGGGACCCATGGTGTGCGCCGCGCCGTGTAGACCCTTCAGTGAGCGCAGCTGCGGCAGCAGGGGCCCCACCCACCTGCCGGGTCGTGGCGGCATCTTTTGTGGCCTGCCGCGCCTGCACAACATCAAAGAGCAGTGCGGAAGTCAGCCACAGCATATTTGCACATATGGTGCACGCACATAATGCGCACCGACCCACACGCAGCAATAGAGGACAGCAAGCGGCCTCCCACCTCTTCGGGCGTCAGCCACCGCCCCGCGCCGCCCGCCGCCTCCCCCGCCTCTGGCGGCAGCTGCGGCGCCGGCAGCTTCCCCCTGACTACGAAGATGCTGTACCCCTGGTCCACCAGCGAATCCAGGTAGGCCGCGAGCTGAGGTGGAAGGAGGCATTTTTTGGGTTTACCGTATACTACCAAAGCACATCCCAGTGTAATGTTTAAGGTGGCCTTCCCAACGTGGATGCTTGGGTTGGCCTTCCATGCGGGAGCGAAATCCACTTGACAGTGCAAAGCGGAGGTAAGAGGTCGTGGTCGGGGAGCGCCATGCAGTGCGGGGCCCCGGGCACGGCTGCAATCATAGGCCGAGCACCGCGCCAGAGCAGGCGCGACGCCGCGTGCGATCCCGCGCGCGCGGCCTCACGTAAAAGTCTGAGAGGGGCTCCGGGGCGGGCAGCAGGCTGTTGAGGTTCCACCACGCCCCCTCCACACGGCGCAGCGTGTACCAGTGCTCCTGGGGGGGGGGGGAGAAACGCGAGGAATTCCCCGGGTAGAAGAATAGGCTTGGTGCAACGGCGTGATGGAAGTATATGCACACGCGCAAGCGAGGTTTTTGTCACAGGGGTGGCGCGCCACCCTTCAGGGAGCCAGGGGTCTCTCCCTTATCCAGAGGTTTGTGCCCTCACTGCTAGCACAGTGTGATGTATTTTGATGAAATGAAGCGGCGCTCCCAGCAGCCACAACCACGCCGCTGCAAAGCAGCACATTCCAGTGTGTCACGCTATTTCGCAGCCCCACTGCTCTGTACGTCTGCGTACGCGCCTGTAGGTTGCAGATAAACGCCACCTCGTTGACCGGGTCAAAGCCTGCCTGCTCGCGGATCGCCTGGCTCTTGTAGGGGACGATCTGCAGCTGCCACAGCTCCAGCGCCTTGGACAGCACCTGCACCAGGAAATGACCACCCAGCGTCAACGCACTTGCCCTCAATGCCAGGAAGCCCTGCCTGCTGCAAACGGCCGAGCTGCCAATACAGGCGGTGCCCCCAGGCTGCCCTTGCCGACGGTCGATCGACCACCCTGGGTTTTGCCCCGCCCCTCCCATCCCACAGGCGGCGCCAGCCACGCCGGCCCCGTGCGCGCCGTCGGCGCCCGCCCCCACCTGGGAGGAGAACATGCCGCTGTCGTCGAGGTTGCCGTGCTCGCCCTCCCCCAGGCCCTCGCCGCCCAGCACCTCTGCCTCCAGCCGGTCGAGCTCCTGGGCTATGGCCGCCAGGTCAAGCTCACTGAAGTAGTGGCCCTGGGGCGGTGGGGCCACGGTGCATTGCACATGGGTGTCACGGGTGACCGTGTGTATGAGTGTTGTGTGTGTGTGTGTGCATGCGCACGTACGTGTTTGAGGGTATGTGTGTGTGTGTATGTGGGTGTATGGGTATGTGTGTCTGTGCTTGTGTTTTGAGGGGGTGGAGGAGGGCCAACAGGTGATATGTGTGTCAAAAAGAGGGGGCCGCATGGTTGCAGACGCTGCTGATCGCTGACCTCTCGACATTGGTGGTCAGCGGTTCAGCTAAGCGCTGGCTCCTGAAGGGGTCACACGAAACCGCTGACGCATGTATGAGGACGCGGCGCGGCGCAGCGCTGCACGTCGCCCCACCTGCAGCAGGGCGTTGACACAATGGACGCCGCAGAGCGCCGCGACCTGCCCACCGAGGATTGGTCAAGCAGTCAAATATGGACCAGCTTAGCTTGCAACGAGGCCGGAGTCCTTAGGCGAACCCAGAAATGGCGAGCCTGCACCAATGTGGTGGCGCCAGCTGCTGCCCTGCTCATGATACGGGCGCACTGTTACGCCCCCACCAGCGCCGGTGGCAGGCCTGCAGCTTGGATCACCTGCTTCTCATGATAGAGCCACATCCCTCTCAACTTTGTATCAGAGTCTAGCTGTTGTCGCAGCAGCACAGACAGTACAAGTCAATGGTCTAATGCTGCCAGATCACGACGACAGGAATACAGCGAACTTGAGCATCAACAACGGTATGTTAGTCAATGAGAGTGAATCGTTCTTGTACGGTGCGCGAAAGACGCACTGATCTGACTGAAGGCCTTGGCTGCAACAACGAAGAAATCTCAGCCCAAGGTTTCATAGACGTGCACGTTGAAAGCGCCATTGTTTTGTTTGACAAACCAACTAGGAGTAAGCAGCCCTCCAGAGATCAAGGGTTGGCTCTTAGGGGGCAACAGCGGCACAGCGCGCTGTCAAGATGGTGAGATAGAACCAAATGATGTCTGCTTCTGTGTTGGCTGACTGCTGGGCGAGACCAGCGGGCGTGCTGCTCGCGCAGGGCTTCTCTGGGCAGCACGAAGCGCCCACGACAGTTGGGGGCGTGAAAAGGTGCAGATGCAGCAACTTCGAGGGTCTGGGGAGCGATGCACAGACAGTGCTGTAGACCAGCGCTCAGGAGCAGTGGCGCGCGGGCACATCGGTGCATCAACGGCCTAGGATGCAGCACAGCGGCATGCGGCATGTGCTGCACCATAGGCCCATCTGAGCAGTGGCAGCTGCGAGCACAGCGCTTGACAGCACAGCGCAGCAGCAAGCAAGCGGGTGCTACAGGCCAAGGCGTCATGCACTCATTGACAGCCGTTGCACACAACCAGCTGTTGCCGCCCGGCGCGCGTGGTCATGTCCCCCTCTTCCAGGTCTTGGGGGAGGCCTACCTGAAGGGCATCCTGCGGCCGCCGCTGGCAGACGTGAAGGCGCTGCCGCCCAACCCGCCGCACCCTTTCCAGACTGATTTACTGTTCTACCTCAGGCAGCGGTTCTTCAAGCACCACACGCCCTTGGTGTTTGGGTTCGCCGTGGCCATCTATGCGTTCACCCAGGTGGACAGCATGATGGCGGCAGGCAAGAAGAAGGCGTACGACGAGGCCATTGCCGAGGGCCGCTCACCTTGTGAGTGGCGCGTACTTGTGTGCGGATGCTTCGCCACCCACATCTGCCTGGCTCACCACACTTTGTGTAGTTGTTCTAGTGCTGGCCTTGTAATGCATGCAACAGCAGTTCTGAAGGGCTCAAACAGGAACGGCAGCATGATCATATGCATGAATCTGCTCTCCTTTTATTACCGACAGTCATGACCCTCCCACCTGCTTGCCACACCCGCAGTCGGCCACCACTAAACCCAGGGCTGGCGTAGAGCAGGCAGGGCAAGGGCGCCGCCGGCTGTGAAGAGCCTTTGTGGACGCTTGCATGGCGGACACAACAGCTGCGACAGCCCGCGTGGCGGCGAGGCTTGACAACGTTTCCTAGGCACCTGACATGGTGCTGCTGTGTGGCGGGACAACCCAGTGTGCGCGCAGCAGGCTTGATCACTGCATCTTGGCAGTTGGGGCGTTTAAGATGCATTTGGCTGGTTGATGCTTGAATGCTGCTGTAACAGCGGCATGGTATCATTTTGCGGACGCCTGTGGGACCAACAAGAGCTACAGGCACCCATTCATGTGAGCGAAATCTTCTACAGAGGAGGGAAGAATGAAATGTACGAAGGCCAAGAGCAACAGTCAGCACTGCAACATCAGCATATGAGGAGTGCCTCAAGCTCCTGCCGCTGGGTTCGCCACTCGTCTCGAATCTGGCTCGCCATGGCGGTCGCTGCCGCCTGCAGCGTTGCGCACGGGAAAGGGGGCGATGCGGACTTTGGCAGTGTGCAGATTGTGGCCAAGCTCAGTACAAACAAACCAGCTTGGCATGTGCCTGCCAGGCAGCAGTACACTGCGCTGGCCTCCTCTGGCGCTGCAGCTTACAGGCGCTGCCCACCTGTATGCTGGCCGCGATGCGCTGCGCGTCTGCTGTGAGCTTCTGCTCCACCGTCAGCCCCGCGGCGTCGTGCGCCGCCGCCTCAATTGCGACCTGCAGCTGCGTGTCGGGCCCCAACTGGATAATATCCTGGTCGCGCAGCGGATACCGCTGACCTGCACAGTAAGCGGGCAATTCAGATCAGAGTGACACAGGAGAGGGGCAGCTGGGCACAGAGTAGCGTTTCGCATTTTGGGTTTGACGAGAGCAGCTTTTAGTTTGTCAGCACAGGCACAGCGTGTGCATGCTTGTGTAATGTGCTGGGCCTATCCTTTTCATCTACAGGTGTGCAAGGTCTTGAGTCTCCTGCAGCACACGTAGGGAGTGTTGCGCACCCTCCAGGAGCTTGCTGTTCCCATTGATTTGCGTCCCGTTGCTGCTGCCGATGTCCACGAGAAACCACGTCCCGCCCGCCGCCGCTTCGCTATCGTCCCACACAAGCTCTGCGTGCTTAGAAGAGACCGAAGCCGTCTTCACGGCGAAGGTGTTGCCCGTCTTCACACGACCGATCTTGAGCAGCGTGGCTCCCGGCTTAGTGAGACATTCACCGATATTGGTCTCCCCCGCTATAACAGTCAACGATATCGAGCGTGGCCCTGAGGGGGGCATGCTGCCGGGGCTGGGAGCGATCTGCTTGTGTTCAAATGCCACCGCGCCTGTGAGGTTGGACCAGAGCCGCTTTGGTGGTTTTGTCGTACGGGAATGCTGGAATCAAGGACGGGATAGCGGGATGGTAGAGCTAGAAGGGGGTTACTGCAGAAGCTGCTGCCCTCGCAGCTGTCGTGGCTTGCAGCTTGAAACCCGCGGCAGGGTGTAAAGAACCAGCGGCGTCGCCTGCGTTGCTTCGGCTGAGAACGCACCGTTGCCAGCAAGACAGCGCCGGGACACACGAGCTGTTCTCAATCAAGGCCGGATGGAAGAAGCCTGCTGCGACAACCGTCCTCGAGCCCCACCGCCGCCC